AACAACTGACACAGCCACTGGACCCTGTGCTGGGCACTCCAGAGACCCCTTCAGCTCTGTCTCACCTCAGGAGCAAGGGAGGTGACTGGTGGTCAGGAGCCTTCCCACCAGCTGTAGATGGAGGTCCCAAATGAACCTGGTCACAATACACCTATGGTGGTCTCAGGGAGAGGGTAAATCCAAAAATGCCCACAGGAGGTTTCTAGCCATCTATCTTAAGGACACTAAATTCAAATGCAGATATATGAGCTAGCTTCTGGAACCTGTTTAATGAGCTGCCTGAATCCTGTCCTGCTGGAACGTACTAGTCCATCCCAAATGCTGTTATAAAAAGGCACCATGTAGACTCTTGACTCTGCATTTCAACCCAAGAGACACTTCCCAGGTCTGCAGCTCAAGGATCCATGCCTCTCTCCCAATCCCCACCAGACCCTTGCAGACAAATTCAGATAAGTCTCACCGTGTAGTCCCATGCAGCCTTTGTTCCTCCTTCAGACTCTGGGGGTCTCTCCTAATACAGTAAGAAAAATCAGGTTTCCTTTGAAGCTCCAAAGTCCTCTTGGTAGTTTCATATTCGTCAAACAATGAATGTGTATGTTGTCTGGCTTCCAAGTTCAGATATTTTGCCCTTTACAATATTGATGGCCTTGTCTGGAATGGGGCTTCTTAGGAGCTCCCTTCAGAGTCTTTCTTTGAGAAAATGAGAAATTCAGAAGTGAGACTATTAGGACTTTCTGAGCCAACAAATTACACTAAATAATGAATATTTATTGCATGTCTACTCTCTTAGTTATCTAGTGCTGCCTAATTCAATCCGTAATATCTACTCTATGCCAGATGGTCTGCTGGATGCTGGAGTTGCAATGCTTTCTAGAAGTTTGCAATGAGTTAGTAAGATAGAATATAAGTATTGTTGACTAATCATAGTACTAGTTATAACTAGGGGCAAACAAACAGCACAGGTACGCCATTAGTGATGAAGTAGTTGGAAAACATGCCAATGAGCTGGGCGTCTTGGAAGGTTTGTTGAGTGGTGGACATTCAGGCTGGACTTTGAAAGGAGGATTGGAGTTTTAAGAAGCTGCATAAAAGGCATGGTATGTTCTAGAAGAGTGTGAACCAGAAGCAGCTGTGCATGTCTGCAGCCAACTTCTCCTTCAAGACTTGCTTTGAAGCCTTTTCTTCCATAAAGCCTTCCTTGAATTTCCATAAGAAATGTCTTTGACACCCAAATGCTAGTAGCCAGGAGGAGGGGGGATGGTCCCCAACTATTCCAGCTTATGGGTCACCCGTTCCTTCAGTTTCAAATGAACTGGCCGATGCTCACGTTCATCAAATGGTGGCCACATTCCAAATGCCAGAAAACCAAAGCAGTTGCCATCCAGTCGATTTCAAGTCATGGTGACTCCACGTGTTTTAGAGTAGAACCACGCTCCATAGTGTTTTCAGTGACTGTGATCTCTCAGAAGGAGATTGCCTGGCCTTTTTTCTGAGGCACCTCTTGGCAGATTTGAGCCAGAAGCCTTTTGGTTAGTAGACAAGTGCTTAAACATTTGTGCCACCCAGGGACTCTCTACTCACAATAACTCAGGGGAACTTTGGTTGTGGATTATGCTTTTCTTTATTACCTCTTGATGCAATTTCCTGCTTCCTATGCCTGTCTGGGAGCCATGATGGTGCAATGGTTAAGTGCTCAGCTGCAAACTAAAAGACTGATGGTTCAAATCCACCAGCCACTCTGCAGGATAAAGATAAGACAGTATGCGTTTGTAAAGATTATAGCCTTGAAAACCCTATGAGGCAGTTCTACTCTGTCCTATAGGGTTGCTATGAGTTGAAATTGACTTGATGGCAACGGGTTTGGTTTTATCCTTCCCATCCTTGACATGCCCTGGAGTGGGAGGAGAGGGTCATTTTTCAAACTCTAAAAGATTCAAAGATAATTGACCC